GATTTCAGCCCCACCAAAAATAGAGTCACATCAAGTTGTTCTCTTTGTTGTTGCTGAATTTTGACATTAGAAGTGAGGGGATGATAAACATTCAACTCATTACGAATGTTTCTCATACTAGCATAGTACTCCTCAAGACTCTGATTGCCCTGTTGCAGATTAAAGTATTCCTGATACAGCTGATATACTCTGGTTGTATTGTCTTGACCAGAATACAACTTCTTAGCATGKTCYCACACATYTTTGGYADTGTCAAGAAACATGAAATTTACACTAATCTTGGGTTCCATACTGTTCCATAACCACGTGATAATCTGTGCATCCTCTTGTTCCCAGTCTTCATACTCAKGAGARYYAGTGGASGGTTTMTCCTCYCTTATGTGTTTCACCTTCTTCTTTGCCTTCAGAAAAACTTCTACAGATTTAGCCCTAGGTACATAATTCTCTCCATTTAGTTTAATGGAGGTCATTTGAACATTCAGGTAGTCAGTAGGTATCATCACATTAGATTTGCTATCACTATTATCTCCCATTACTGAATTCTGTTATTATTGAATTCGGCACACTGCACACTACTTGATCACACTGATTTCAGCGCTTGTTATTGCTGAAGGTTGCACTCTTTACACCACAAACCCTACCCTACGACTACCTGAAATCTCACCACTATATGAGAACCACTCCCCCTTCGAATCACACAAGAAGCCGCATAAACCCTAGCACACTACAGTCTGAAATCCCACCATACGATCTAAAACATACTTCCTATTTGATTCATAACAAAACATATGCATAGAAATCTCTTACCTCATCAACCGAAAAACAAACCACACAAGAAGAAAATCAGTCCACACAAGACACCCACTGCACCACACGAATTAGCCCTCTTCTCTTCATCGATTAGGGGAGAGCTTCTTAGAGACCACAGCAACCGACCAYGAAYWGYACAACTGGAGGCATAGAAACCTCCAAGGGAAGAGGGCGACCACTCCTTTTCAGCCCTTTCCCTTATCTCCAATCGATGGCAGAGAAATCAAGAGAAAACCCTAGATTGAGTGCGCAGAAAACAAAAATCTGGGCAGATCCGAGTTGCTTAGTTGAGCTCTGATACCATATTATAATTCGGTCTGCCTTTGAATTCTGTTAGTCTGATAACAGCCAAGAAGAGAGAAGAAGAAAGAAGAAAGAAAGAGAGAGAGAAAGGAGGAGAAAAGGAGAGAAGAAAAGTCAGGTTTGAATTTGGGAAAGATGGCTTCTCTCATTCGGCCAGACATGTTTTATATTACTAATATAATGAAAAAGACACATGTGCCCTTATTTAAGTGAGGGACTAGTTCTAATATAACATTATAGATCAGCAACCTCAACATAAGTATAAAGACAGAAATACCCCTACACTAACACTCCCCCTCAAGCTGGTGAGTATATATCATATAATCCCAGCTTGTTACATATGTAGTCCACTCTTCCCCGATTCAACCCTTTTGTAAATAAGTCTGCCCACTGGTTCCCTGTGTTAACATATGCAGTGTCTATCAGTATGGAATTTTTGTCCCACAATGTCATAATCAGAGTTTAGCCCAGCAAGGAACTCAAAAATTTTGTTTCTTTTGATCAACATCCTATAAGTTGCCGCATCCTTTTGGCTTTCCCACTCAATTGTCTCCAGATGGTCAATCTCATATCATAAAGACTTCAAGGTAGATAAATAGATCAAAACTGATTTCTCCCCATGTTTACAATTGTTCGTTGCACTCTTCAACTCATAGGCCCTAGCAAGAGCAAGTGGCTGAGAATAAGTTTCTTTCATATTATCCCAAATATCCTTAGTTGTCTTCAGCCAAAAGTAATTCTTGCTATTATGAGTTGCATGGAACTATACAACCAAGACATCACTAAGTAATTTTCTTGAACCCATTTGGCATGAGAGGGAACTTCTTTGCCCGGTTTCTTAGTGTTACCAGTCAAATACACTAATTTTGCACTTCCTCCAATGGCCATCATGGCTGGCAGCCCACTCAACAGCCCCTACAAGGCTATCATGGCCATCTGAAAAGGGTTACCATCTGCCACAACAACAGCCCCTACAAGGCCTTTTCCATGAGATTTAGATTCATTCCCAATAGCTTCCATGCGTATGCAACAGTCAAACCTCAAAAAAGGTCCAATTCTCTTCTTCCTCAGTGGAACAATCCTCCCAGGAGCAGTACACATTCCATGAGAAAACCTTAAGAACAGCCCTGGAGAAGGCAGAGAAAAGTGAACCGCTTCCTCCAGAGGCTTCCAAACTATTTCTGCTTGTTGTTGATCTCTAAGAAAAGAAAAAATCTGCTCAAACAACCCTCAGCACCACCTCAAATCCAAGGTTTAATCACCAAACTTCAATCTGGTCTGATTCTGATTCTTCCTGGCTGTTGATGTGAAAAGTTTAATAAATTCTCATGCAACATAATTCACTCAATCAAGTGATTGAGCTTTTATTATTTTGGGTAAGGCCCATTCAGGGAATCATACAGATTGTTCCCCTTAATTACATCTCCACATGAAAGTAGAGAACACCTTTTGATTCTGACTTGGAGAAATGAATGCACAGAACAAAAGAGAAGAACAATAAAGTACTTTAAAAGAACTTTTCACTTACATTTCTTTTACATCAAGTGTACAAGAATGAGAAGAAAACAAAACTCTAAATAATAAATCTCTCTTTTCTTTTTGATACAAAGAAGATTTCCTTCTCACTCCTTCCTTCACAATAAGCTGTAGTCAATCAAATGAAATTATGATTGTAGACAGCCTTAATCTTTTGGATTTTGCATACAAGAAAGGAACCGTAGTCAATCAAATTGCATATTTGATTATAGACGATTTTATTCCCCTGTTCTTCATTTTCATTTGAAAGGAACCATAATCAGTCTTTGAGAATTAGACTATAGATGGTTTAATCCCAAAATTTGTCTTGGAAGAGGGACCATAGTCAACCAAGTAGAGGCACCCGGTTGTAGATGGTTTATTTCCCTCTATTTCCTTTCTCAAAACTGAAAATAAAAGAGAGAGAAAGAAGGATACATAGCAGAAGACATATATAGGAAGTATTCACGGAGAGGGCTTTCCTTTTCCTACCTGTATTAGTGAGACTTCTTTTCCTTCCCTGCCTTCCCTTGAGCACCTCTCTTTTTTACTCTCCTTATCTTTGCTTTTTCTTAAGAATCTCTTGTGACAATTTTCTCCGAAGAGTCTCTCCGTCTGTGCTTCTAGCTTCCCCTTAAGGAGMWTAAATAGGGAGTGSGGTAGTTATGTAACTACCTCCTCCTCCTAGGTGAAGGACACCTGTCCCTCCCACTTAAAGAGAGGGAACTCTCCACTTAAAAAGAGGGAACTCCCATACAGGATACTTTTTTATAGTTTTAATGCTTTGGCTAGCAGACTAGCCAAACCACTTATTTGAGTTCTAATTTATTTAAATATTATTTGGATTGAAAAAAAATGCCTTCAACACTGGCCACTGGGCAATCTCCAAAGCTGAACTTTGGGCAGCAGTTACAATCTCCAATAACATCCAAGAATCAGGCCATAAAAAACTGGAAACTCCAGTCCCAAGAATGTCTCATGTAGATGTAGCCAGCTGGATCAAGCCTACATGAGAACACAGCTCAACCCTAAACCTTGCTCTGATACCAACTTGCTGAAATAGTTGCTAGCAAACCAGGTTTAGACAAGAAAACAGCAAGAAAAATAAAAGAAAAGAGAAGAGAAGAGGTGGAGAAGAAGAATGAAAGAAAACAGAGAGAAATGAGAGAAAAGGGAAGCAGATTGTAATGGTTCGGCTGCCCCACTCATTACTATTTATACAAACAATAAAAAATAAGGTACAATGACTGTTATACCCTGCAGCCTATAAGACAGAAGAGAACAAATAATGGAATAGCAAAATAGCAATAAAAAAGGGCTTAAAAGAACATGGGGCCACACTCAAATAATAGATCAAGACTGATCTATTGTATCTTTACACTCTCCTGCTTCTTCCTTTGAAACCCTTTCCATTGGAGGTGGTTATCTTAATCCTTTTCCTTATAGGGCATTTCTTCTCAATGACCAGTTTTCATTAAGGAGTTTTGGAAGATCCTATGCTTCCTAAGATCAAAGCCATCCATAGGAAATGGAGATAATAATTCATATCCCTTCACACTTGCATCCTCTGCTAGAAAGTGGGGAATATGCGTAAATTTTCCCATCCAATGTAAGGTTGCAATTGAACTAGGCTGGCTTTGCATTTGGAACTTGGAAGTAAAACCTAAACTGCCAATTATATGATCTGTACTTCAGTCGAATTTTTCAATATCTCAGATCTTAACAAATAGCCAAGTTTTTGTTGTCAAAACAAAATTGCATGGATGTTGTCGTCATTTCATTACACAGAATCAAGGCAGGATCATGGTTCAAATCCAATTCTGCTCACATGAACCAAAAATAGCCAACGCATTACATTCCAATTCAGGGGATTTCTTTTACACCCTTTTGGATAAACTTACGCTTTTCCTGAAGACATGTATGATTTCCTTAAGGGTTGGAACATTTGCAGTTTTAGTACTTCAGTATAAGATTATGTGGAAATAAGCCCCATATGCTATGGGGAAAGAAGAATTGCAATGATCTTTAGAAACTGAGGTCAACCATAGGAAAAGGTGGCAAATCTGATATAATGTCTATACAGGTGATACAATTGATTATACCATCTTATGTTTGTGACTAGTGCAGAAGTGGTAAATTCTATAGTTTTAGGTACACGTATGGTAGATATGGATTAAAAATAGGGTAAAATTATTTTTCTAAGTATATTCAGATTTTTAGCATATTTATGTAATTTTTTGGACAAGTTATAAAAAACAGATATAATCTTATGATTTAACATATGATTCATGATTCACTTCAATTCAACTTTCTATACAATTTAAAATAAGATTACAATTTTCAGAATTTAGATAATAGTCCAGAATGGCAACCTGATACGTTATCTGGTGCTGCACTATCCTCATTTTTGCCATTTTCATCCTTATGCTTTGATGGTGAAACTGAGGTAACATTTCCATTGCCACCCACAGAATTTGAAATTCCAGTTTCTTCATTAGAAACTACTATACTTGATTTTTCCTTTGTATCAGCCAAACCCTGTAGTACAATACATCATAGGAGAATCACATGTAATCTCAATAGCTCAATTGACTGATGTGAATAAATATTGATTAAATATTATAAAAGCATCCTTAAGTTCATTGCAAAGATATATAAGCTAGATTCATAGCAAAGTTCAGGAAAAAAAGCATAGGGGAAATAAAATAAAGCATAAATAAGTGAAAAATATCCAGGTTATAGATTACAAAGAAATATAAATAACTAAAGCTGAGACATTATGAGGGGCTAGATTGAAATTTTCAGATCTTCCACCAGAAGGCAAGTCTCTGGAACTGCTATCAGGACAAGATTCTAGCTTTGCTGCAGGGGTTGAGACTAATGTACTGATTAGATTTTTTTAAGAGAAATAAAGAGAAACAATTCATTAAATATGAAACAGATTACAAGAAAATCCGGTGACAAGTTATCGCCAAACCATCACAAAAAAATACAAAAAGAAGTACGTACAAAACATCACATAATCTGTTTAGAACATATTACATCAAGTAAAACTCATAGTACTCAAAAAGAATCAAACCAAAATTTTAACTTTTCAAGCCTTCAAATTCAGGAAGAATCAGCACCCAATCCATAAGCTTTGCCCCAATGATTGCATATAACTTCTCCTTGCACTTCATTTTTCCTTCAAAAGTTCTTCTATTTCTTCCTTTCCAAACTTCCAACATACTACAAATGGAATACAACTTCATACGATCCTTGCTTTAATGTCGCTATTGAACAACGGCCAAAGATCAAAAATCTCCTTAGGCACACTAGGTGACCACCCTCCCATCTTGAATAGACTAAAGAAATATCCCCAGATACTTTTTGAAAAACTGCAGCTTGCCAAAAAGTGTAAGATATTTTCTTCTGCTGAAAGACAGAACACATATCTGTTTGTCATGCGATAACCTCTTTTCTTCAACTTATCTTGAGTGAGAATTCTATCCATAGAATTCTCCCAAACACCTTTGACTGAAGTACTTTCCACCTGATTTTTTCCTGCTGCCCTTGCTTCAATTGGCAGTCCCAAATAAGTGGAGCAGAACTCACCAATTAGGCATCCCAACAAAACAATACAAGATGATTTGATGAAGGTGTTTTCTTGAATTTCACTGGATAGGGAGAATCTCACCAGGAAGAAATGCTACCTTCCTGGCCCTAGTGCCAAAAAAGAAAGAGGTTAAAATTCCAAAAGACTACAGACCCATTAGTCTCATAGGAAGCCTTTTCAAGATTATTGCTAAAGTCTTGGCAGGAAGGTTGAAAATGGTTTTGCCCTCAGTGATCTCTCAAATTCAAGGAGCTTTTGTGGAAGGGAGACAAATTATAGACCAAATCCTAGTGGAAATGAGTGTATGGCTGAAAAAAGAAAACATGGAGAGAGAGGCCTAATTTGCAAGCTAGACATGAAAAAAGTCTTGCTACCTCTCAACTTTGGACATGAAGAGAAAATTTCTACTGCTGAATTTGGATGAAAATCAGAGACACCAAACATAGCAGTGAACATTCTCCGCATGAAAGCAGCAATCTTGCAAAAAAAAAACAAATGACTGACATTCTCCTCCCGCTCTTTGCATAAACAGCACCTGTTAGCTTCCTATCAAAAAACCAAAAAAACAGCACCTGTTAGCCATACTGAACCATCTTGATTTCAAGTGATCCACAGTCAAGATGCTGTCCAATGCCACAAGCCACACAAAAGCTTCAACCCTTGGGGGCACCAGATTTCCCCACACACCTTCTAATTGGTTTGAATCTGAACTGTTCCTGCTGAGAGCTAGATAACATGATTTAACAGAGAATTTTCCATTTGAGCACTCTTTCCACCATAGTTCATCCCACAGATGAGATAAGATTTTCACACCCTGTAGCTTCCCCAACAAAGAAATATGCTCTTCCACTTCTCAGTCCAGCAAAGGCCTCCTAAATTCTGGGCTCCATATCAGTTGATCTCCCCTTCTGTCATAGCAATAGGTAATAGGAACTTCAGCTTAGCATATACATCTTGGGCATATTTCATTCAGCTCGCCTATACCACACCAATCATCCTCCCAGAATCTGACTCTTGAACATCCCCTACTGTTAGGCTTCTAAACTCCCTGTTAAATCTCATAATCCCTTTCCACACACACACACCGTATGAAAATCTCACCTCTCTAAGTTCCCAACCAAACCTTACCACCCCATACTTCCCTACCACCACCCTCCACAATGAGTTTTCCTCTCTCCCCAACCCAAACCTTGTCCCAGTTCACCAAATGAAATTTCTTTCCCCCTCCCTCCCCACCCACAAGGCCACAACCTCCCATAAGAAACCCCTCTGAACCTTTTCAGGCACTTGAGTTGGGATCTTCAGCCAAGACATATACTAGGTTTGTAAGCTTGACAGGAAACTTTTAATTAAAGTTATCCCCCCCCCCTCCAAAGAGAGGTATTTTGCTTTCCACCCATCCAGCCTTCTTTCAACCCTTTCTAAAATTGGTCTCCACAATGCACCTGAGTTTGAAGCACCCCCTACCAGTATTCCTAAATAAGTGAAAGGGAGCTCTCCAATTCTGCATTCAAAAGCATCAGCACAATCCAATAGAACTTCCCTTTCAATATCTCCAACTCCAATCAACACACTCTTTGAGAGGTTAACCTTCAAACCTGTTAATAACTCAAAGTTTGCCAAAACTTCTCTCAAATTTAACACCTGGTCAACCGATGCATCCAAAAAAATCAAAGTATCATCCTCATACTGCAGATGAGATTTTCCATGTTTTGAGAGGAAATTGAATGTTCTTAATAAAGACACTTGCTATTTTTTCAATTAATATGCATGCTGGTTGGTATACAAAACTACAGAACCAACAATATAATGTAACATTTTGTTTTATAAAGTCGGTATTGCCTAGGCAACTGCAACAAGGAGCTCCACTAAAACCTAGAATTGCCTGATGCTTTGACAACTATGATCCTGACACAGTCATTGGTGGGATGAGAGATGTTTAATTGGGCCACGGAAATTTAGTAGTCCCATTTGAGAAGGGAGATCCTCAGCATCCGAACTAAACCTCTCATTCTACTAAATTTTCTATTTTGACAGCCTAAGGGCTCTGTGTTTCCCTTTGTCTTCCCTGTAGATTAATACAATCTATATGGTTGACAATTATAAACAAATTATGGGGTAAATAGAAAACAAATTTTGTGGAATGAAACACTTACTGCAACACTATTTGGGCCATCTTGGTGCTCAAGTTGCAACTTTTCCAATTTTGTAGGAAGCCCATCACCTGCTTCAGCATTAGCACCCACCATTCTTTCTTTGCTTCTTTAACAACTCTATAACAATCAATTTGCAATGGAAAAAGAATATAACGTTAGATAGAAACTAGATAAAGAAAGCAAAAGGTCAATTTGACAACTAACTACCTTTCACATAGTCAACAAAAAGAATTGATCAGTAACATATACACATATCCACAAAAAGGGAAAAAAACATGATTGTTCCTTAACATGTGAGAAGAGAACCTACAGGACTAATAGTTGACCGGAAAACACATACAATGGAAATGCAATTTACTTGTCATTCCCAAAGTTAAAATGTACTTTCTATTCCAGAATTTGTATACCTCTTCATATTAGATTTTAGTTATTTTTTTCTGTACATAGTTGAGAATTTAGCTTTTATATCAAGTACTATCGTATATGATGTTAACAGAATCAGAAACTTCAACATGCAAAGCAAATACTCTTTGTATTTATTTGCTTCAATAGATGGGACCATTAAAGCTTTCCACAGTGTTTTTTTTTCCTTGTATGCTTTCCTTATTCAATCAAGGGCCATTTCCAAATATTGGACCCGGCCATTCAGAGTCTTAGAGGGCGCCGCGGGGGGTGGGGGTAGCCAATTTATTGCATGAAGTGGCCGCTATAACCTGCCTTCTTCCAGCTCCAGATTTTACGACTGCACCAAGCAATAGCCCCCGTTTTTTCTTACTCAATGTTATTGTTTTTTTCTTTTTTGACATATTTTTCAATATTATTATTTATTGTTGCTTCTTTCATTATTTCTTCAATTATCACTGCCTTCTTCCCATATTATCCAAGGATGCCCTGAGCTTCCATCGATTTCCACCTCATGTTTCCAATTAACAAAAATAAAGCCCAAAATTAGCAGTAAATTCTTAGCCGATAACAAAGTTGAAAAATGAATATGAAATAACAGGGTATATATAAAACAAATAAAAATTGAGATGAATACTCCCAAAATAACAATACAAGTAGGGAAAAACAAAAAAAGGGGCCAGCTTTTCTGAAAGGCTCAAAATAATGTTCATGGGTTCCTTCAATTTCAATAAAATTTTGATAGAACAGGCCAGAGCAATAAGAAACACTTGATCTTCAGACAGGCAGAAAAATAAGACCTCATCAACGTTGAAAGAAGCGACAACCAATCAAAACCCCACAGGTGATGAAGCAAAGACATGAGTTATTGAAGTTGGATCAAGAAATTCAGAAAATACTTCCTGGAAACGAAAGCCATGAATAGAGAGAGAGAGAGAGAGAGAGAGAGTTACTGGAGTTTGCTTGCTGGTAGCGTCCAGCGTCACGGCTCCAACACGAGAACCCTTGATTTTGGGCGGGGCGGCTTGGCACAAAACAATCAGACAGACGGCAATGGAAAAATTACAATATAAGGATGCAGTTTGAGGGGGACGCGGGCAGTCCACTACCCGGTTCTTGTAGCCCGATTTATGGTCGGGTTGTGTTGATAACTTATCGGATCAACTATCTAATTGGGGAGGATTTGGTCGGGT